CAGCTTAGTTAACAAACAAACATTTTTTTGACGATCGTAGGTTGTCAGTGTGGAGGGAGAAGAGACGAGGGGATAATATAGACCCTTGGAGGGCTCCACAGTTATTGGGAAGGACCGTGGATTTTCGCTTTCCGCACTGAACGAATTGAGTGTGGGAAGTGAACTAGTCCCCAAGCCAAGAGACAGCCTGGCCGAAAGAGCCGCATGCGCAACCACTGAAAATATATTTACCTGAGATTTCGGACTCTTGTAGTAACTAATAATTAGATAATGTGAGAGTGCAAGAACAAGTGATAAGTTTGGCAGCAAAACAATAAGAAAGGGAAGAGTGTCCGTTATAGGGCTAGGTCTACGCCGGCTAACTCGCAGTGGCCTTGTGCGCCCTGGTGGCACTGGGGGTAGGGGGAGGAGTGCAGTAGATCAACGTGCTTGTTGATTGCGTTGGTGACAGACACAAAGGCTTCCAACAGTTTTCACCTGTGTCTTATCGCCGGCGTGTGCCAATATCTGCGTGTTCGCTTAATCACACTCATGACCCTCCTCAAGCGCCTGAGTAGCGACGTTAGACACCAAACGGCTCGTTTGTGCTCAGGTGTTCGCGAGCTGATTCATCGTCCTATCTGTGTATGTCAGGGACAGCCATAACATTTAAGTTGACAAACTGCGCCCGATTACTCACTTGCATCCAGCCAGTCCTCAATCTGCATAATTCTGGCAGCTGCCGGAGGCTGGACAATACCCTCATCAGACGCTGCGGGAATGCGTTCCATTGACTCTGATACATTTACATACGTCTGAATGTTCTAGGCTGATTAAGTTGTTTGTGTTACCGTTCCTTGCTGATTGGCTAAAAGATGCTGTGGTACTTCTACTCGTTCCTCCAGTTTGTTAGAGTGCGTCCTACCCCTTGAAAGATCTATTTAACACAACTGCGTTTGCGCACCATCGGTCGAGGACTTGCGACCTGCGACCTGTTAGTCGTTTTTCTGAACAAGATGATCTTAAGTACACCAGTGGGTCTGCGCGTGATGATGACTTTAAGAAGATGGAAAATGTTTGGCTTAAACTTTTCTTGTTATTCGAATATCGTGAAAAATGCCCCTTAGCAGCCCCTTACAGGACGAATGTGTCCTCCAGGTATCAGCGCTAAAACGCATGTTCGTGGTAGTTGAATGCGGCCTTTTCCAACTTTTTTATGACTAATTTCGTCAATAGACAAGATATTGCGGAAACGATCGGCGTCCCCTGCATTTGTTTGTATGTTCTCCAATTCAAGATGGGAATATTTTTGGCAGAAGGTAAACATTTTCACTAGATTATCAATTATTATCGGCCGCCTCATTGCGTCATAGGTCTTTTTGAGTTGTTTTGCGTAGAACGCACGACATTTTTCTTTGAAATGCATTTGAATAGTGGGATCACGTCAAGCAATACCATCACTTGGTTGGAGCGACCGATTCCCCTCCCGGATGTCGGCAAGGAATTTGTATGCCGAATTGTTAGTGGTTGTGGAATACGCCCGAAAAAGGTTTAGTTTTCGTGTCATCCATTTGATTAACCTGTAATTGAGACGACTCTTCAGGACAACGATTTGCGAATATTACCATTGAGCTCGTGGATTTTGGACAATTCACAGAACCTAACCCATGTTGTATCAGTTGGTTTTGTCTGCTGTCCTTACTCCAGTGAGATCACATTGTTGAACCAGGGTCATTTTGGAGTCTGGTTAGCTAATCTATCATGGATTTGGCTCGTAGGTTGGTTGGTTATTAGCCCTTGTTGGATCAGGAGTCCCCGCCGGAGTCCAAA